AGAGAAAAGTATCTTCTGTATAATTCAGTGTTCATATAGAAGTATTTGTTTCGAAAGAATTATTTTCTTTCGTGTAATTCAATGTTTATATGAAAGTAGCTGTTTCAGGAGGACTTTCTTTCAGTTTGTGTCTGAAAGTTACTTCTTTGCATGATCTACACATTCATGTAAAGAGTTTCAAATTGATTACTTCCTTCCTCTCTTTGGAAGATTCTCTCATCCCTTTTTTTTGTATCAGATGGAGTAGTAGAAAGCCAAAAACTTTCTTTCTCAAAAAAATTAATCACTCCTAAAAATATAACCCCTTCAATTCAAATTGATTTATTACTATAGATCAAATTAGTTATGGATTTTAAATTTCATTAGAAATTGTATTATTTTGAAGTCCAAGTGGTATAAAAAACTTTGAATTGATAATGAGGATTTAAGATCAAGTATTAGGAATTTTTGATATCATTCCAGGTATAAACTTTATTGGATATTCCAGGATTTGATGCAAGCCTTTAACTTGTCCACATTCAGTATTGATTGTCTCAACATCATATCTGAAAAAGATGTGATCCATTTAGGTAGTGTCCTGTTCGCATTCATATGATAGTAGTGAGATATCTGTTGTCATTAGGATTTAATTTTTTGTATACCAAAGGTAACAATTGAAATGAATTATGATATCCAGAATTTAAGCTGGATGATGACTGAAGTTTTACTATAGCTGTGGAATCAGCAAGGTCATTTTTATTTACTCAACGAGTAATTTACTATAATTTTCTGTAAATTTTTGAAGTAGGAACATGTATATGAAAGAAAGCTTAGAGGAAGGTGAGTGAAAGGGATATTTAATTTATTTATTTATCTGCGAGTAACCCTTAATTAGTATACGTTTTGGTTTTAGTTGACATATCCTTGATATGTCGAATGAAGGTCGAGTCAGTTCAAACAAATTAATTGCTATCATTTTCTGATAAAAGCAACTTCGTTGGTGAAGCCAGGTTGACAAATTCTGGTGTGTGACTTAAGTAATTTTATTATGTTTTGTCAAATTATCCTTGAAAAATTTATATAAATTGGGTTCAAGAACATTCAGCTCGCTTTTAGAAGGTTGAATAAGTTCAAACAAATTGTTTACTATTATTTCGTGATAAAGACAACTTCATTGGTGAAACCAGGTTGAGAAATTCTGGTGTGTGATGAAAGTAATTTTATTATATATTTAGTCAAATTAATTTAATTTTCAGATTCTGAAACTCCTTCTGAATGGTGCTGTAGAAATAGGTAATATAGTTCAATTCCAAATTCAGAATATGCTGAGAGACTTGAGAAATTTGATCATCTGCACACATAAAAGGAAACTTGAAGAAACTGGACCTTCCACGTCTAAAGGAGTTCTTCATAACAGATTTACAAATGAGCAAGTTGTTGTTATGGCTTCATCTAAGGTGAAGACTTCTTGTGAACTACAGTTACCTTCCATGGTCCCATTGACAATTAAATCGTCAAGCCAAGTGTTTTTCCTCAGAGTACTGAGAGTTATTGTCCAAATAAGGAATTCTATAAAACAAAGTATGAAAAGAGGTAGGTGCAGTGAAAATGCAGATATTTTTAGATATAATTATTGGAATATTTTTCCAGCAGAGACGGGGTCATATGAGCTACCAGCTTTGAGTGACCAACTGAGCAGCCTTAGTAGCTTTTGGGAAACATTGAGTGAATGTCTTTCTGAATTGGAACATGCACCAGATCATCATGCTGTTCTAGTTTTACAGGTTAGTTGAAACATATTTATTAAATTAATAGTTGTGTTTGGTAATATAAAGTAGTTGACATTTTACATTCAATATTATTGACAATCTAATTGACATCGATGATATTTGAAATTAGAGCCCAAAAATCAACACATCAGTGATTCAACACCAGACAATATTTTCCTTGGACAAGCCGGTTGGTCGGTAGCCGGTCTGTTCGACGTGGGTGCTTTGTTCACTCACTCAAATCGACCGCCGTGTTGGTCGCTGGTTCAAGTCCCAGGCTGAACGATTGATTTTCACTTGCTATCGTCTAACCCGTGTTAGGAATCACACGTTAAAAGATAAGACCTCGTTAGTCCGTAGGTCGCAAAGTTTCGACTTCTGAGGGTTGTCGTTCGTAGGGGTGCGAATGCTGGTTAACGGATAAACAGATTTTCAAACAGAAACCTAAGTATGTGAGGGCGACGGAACCTCCCTTTACTAAGATGCCATTCACGGGATCGACAGAAGACTCAATTCTCGAATGTCAAAGATAAACTAGGCTTTTCAAGGTCATTGCAAATCCAAACTTTGCAATGCATTTGTTTTTCAGCATAGCACCACTGATTAGACCAATGACAGGTTGAAACAGGGCCTCTGGTGTTGAATTACAAATTCTTTGTTTTTTGAGCTTTAGTTTCAGCTAGTAGGTGTTGAGCTGCAGTCACAATTTTTGAGAAAAGAAGCCGAACAAGAAGAAAATGTGCAAGAAAACTCTGAATCAGAGCAAACTAATGAAAATCAAACTACAGCTGAGGAGCAAACTTCCTCAGACTCTCAGGCAGTTGCCGAAACTCCCGCTCCGACAGAGAGTGAAAATGAAACAGAAACTGGACCAGTTGACTCTGAACAGCCAGAACCAACAACAGCAAATACTGCTCCGAGTACTGTTCCTGAACCTGAAAAAATCGTGGAAGCAGTAGCTAATAAAGCAACAGTAACTCCTGAACAGCAATTATTCCTGGCCTTCGCTGAGAAACATCGGACTGTGTTGAACCAAATATTGAGGCAGAGCACTGCCCATTTGGCAGACGGTCCTTTTGCTGTACTTGTTGATCACACTAGAATTCTTGATTTCGATATCAAGAGGCGGTATTTCAGAACGGAGCTTGAAAGGTTGGATCATGGGATTAGGAGGGAAGAAACTGCAGTTCATGTTAGGAGAAACAACATATTCGAAGACTCGTTCAGAGAACTTTTCAGAAGGCCCCCAGAAGAATGGAAGAATCGATTCTATATTGTGTTCGAAGGTATGGAAAATTGACCTTATGGTACTATTAAAAACATATTTAAAGTTTTGGTGTAGAAAATCAGATTCTTACATTTGCTGCATAATGATGAATGTTGTTTTATTATTTCTAGATGAGGAAGGACAGGATGCAGGAGGTTTGTTGAGAGAATGGTATGTGATCATTTCAAGGGATATCTTCAATCCTATGTATGCTTTGTTTACTGTGTCACCTGGCGACCGGGTCACTTATATGATCAATTCTGCAAGTCATTACAACTCCAACCATCTTTGTTACTACAAATTTGTTGGAAGGGTTATAGGTAAATAAATACATTCAAAGTTTCAATTTCACCCAATCTAACATTTTAACTTTATTTCAGCCAAAGCTATATATGACAATAAACTGTTGGAATGTTATTTCACCAGATCTTTCTACAAACATATTTTGGGAATATCTGTCAAGTACACTGATATGGAGAGCGAAGATTACAGCTTTTATAGAGGCTTAGTTTATCTCATGGAAAACAACATAAATAATCTGGGCTTAGATTTAACGTTCAGTACAGAGATAAGCGAGTTTGGAGTTACCGAAACCAGAGATTTGATACCAAATGGAAGACATATTGCTGTTACTGAAGAAAATAAAATGGAATATGTCAGATTAGTCTGCCAAATGAAGATGACTGGAGCAATCAAGCAACAGTAAGTCTTTTATTTGTATATTTCAGCAGTGACATTTATACAACATTGAATTTATAGGTTGAATTCATTCCTAGAAGGATTCTATGACATCATACCTATGCGACTAATTTCAATATTCAATGAACAAGAGTTAGAATTACTGATTTCTGGATTACCAAATGTAGATATAGATGATTTGAAAGCCAACACAGAGTACCACAAATACCAAACAAACTCATTGCAGGTATGAACATGAACAAGGTTGCCAATATTTTATATATATTTTATTGGGGATTTGCTCCTCCATGCTATTTTAGGTTAGTTCATCATTATTGTTTTTAGATTCAGTGGTTCTGGAGGGCTCTGAGATCTTTCGATCAAGCCGATCGTGCCAAATTCTTGCAGTTTGTAACGGGCACATCGAAGGTACCTTTGCAGGGTTTTGGTGCCCTCGAAGGCATGAATGGTGTTCAAAAGTTCCAAATACACAGAGATGATCGATCTACAGATCGTTTACCTTCTGCGCATACATGGTGAGTTTGATTTTGAAAACACTGATTTACCTAAAATTAAAATGTTTTACACCTGAACAGTTTAATTCTGGGAATTAACTATTTTATAGTTGCATAATTCTTATATTTGAATGTCATGGTTTATTGAAAATGTGGATCATGATACCTGAAAAAATTGTTCTCGTAAATTGTGGTTATAGAGTCCAATGAAAGATAATGAACACCTTTTCCCAAAATGTAACTTTGACTTGTGTTTGAACCATTCATTTGAACATATTCATAAAATCAAAAGTCATGTTATTATAATAAAAAGTATAGATTTATTGATATATAACTTCCATTATACTTATTTGCTGTAATGAAACTTTTTGAGTAATTCACTTATTGCAAGGTATCTTATTAAATGTATTCATCACTTGAGCGGAAAGAGCTCATTTAGCTAAGTTTTAATCATCTGCTGATGATTTTAACTCTTGACAATTATTGGAGTTCTTCAATATTTCTCCATTTGAATTTTCATATTCCTTCAGTTGACTGAGTATGCAGTGACTGAGTTATCAAACGCTCATAATCTAAATGACATAATGAAATGTTACCAATTGGATGATATAATGAAACTTGTTATGCCAGTTACTGAACTGAAACTGTTATAACAAGTCATTAAAATGTACTAACGTTCCCCAGTTTATAATTTTTTTTTATAAACAAATTGATAAAGTGCAATCACTTTCATTCAAGTAATTACTGAAGTGTAACTTTTATGTAACCATGTTACAAAAAACTTATTTTAAATCACTAAGTTTAAAGTTAACCTATTTTACCCCGGTGTTGCACCTGTGTACTATGTTGAGGACAGATGTATCTTTGTCCTCAAAATCTCAGCACCTGATATATATGTATGCATCAAGTATTTATTTAATTAACTATTGAACTTTCATACGATTTCTTTTAGTCTTTCCTAAGCATCACCTAGGTGGAAAATGGTCATAATGAAATATTCTTATGAATGTAACTTTCTCAAAAAACTCTATTGTTCTAAAAAATTATCAGGAAAGCAATTCTACCCTTCTCAACAAGCACATTATGAAAAACATCTCAACAATCATTTTGTAGAAAAAAAACTAATCAATATAGTTTAATTGTATGATTTTCACTATAAAAGGGTTTTACAAAACCCGCGACACGTGTTTCGCTATACAATAGCTTCTTCAAGCATAAACTGAGTCAGTTTATGCTTGAAAACTTATTGCATAAATCATAAAGAATAAAATCCAAAAGCCAATCTGTAAAGAAATTATTGTAATCTGGAACAGAAATGAGAGAGTTGTTAACATACTTTTCACTACGAATGCAATTTGTTTTCTATAGCTTATTGGTGATATCAGTTTTTTAATAAAGTTTCTGTAAATTTTCACCTTCCAAAATCTGAAAAAACATAAAAATTGTGATGACAAAATTGTGTTGGAAAACTTTTTACAAGTGTATAAAGGACGAACTTCTAGTTTTTCTCGACAAATTACTGCCTAAATTCAATGTTTTTTTTGCAAAGAAAAATTCACTATTCATCAGTGTACCTGTATAAAGTTCTCCACTACGATTTTTATTTGTGTCAGATTGTGGAAGGTCAGAATTCCCATAGAGTAATTGTATTGTATTAACATGTTCTACACATGAAAACATGTTTTTATTAAGAAGGAACAAATTAAGATTATGGTTAGAATGTTCATTTAATCAAGTGAATGTTGTACTCCAGTTACTGACAGGAAGAATTGCTGATGTTCAACTTGCCTTATGAGAAATAACTAGATATTTTAAGATTTCCTAGTGTTATTATCAGAACATGGTTTAGGTCGTACAGTTCGGTCAACGAAAGAATGCACATACTTCACCGTGAAATATAAAATGCCTACAGTTTATAAGAACATAGGCTTTCATGGCTGGAGTCACGATTGAAGAGAACAGAATCTGGCCTGGCAGGCTGCGGTCGAACGGAACCTGATGTACTGAATGTTTTGTCTGCCACTGTGGCAGACATCAGTAGTAGTTAGACTGGCGACCTACGTGTTCACTCGTATATGTAATTTTGAGAGTGGTGAGTATAATGGTGGGGATGGCGTCTCCAGTTGTGAAAACATCTATTGGTGTAGTATATGAAAATCAAAGAAATTGCCGACGACTCATTTGTTCTTTGATGTACTGAGTGCAAATTATACCTATTTAATCTTCGTTTTTCACTTGTAAAAGAAAAGGATACTATATAGAAGTACTGTCATGTCGCATATTTTGTTGATGACATTTGTGCATTCTTTTATTGTCCCTACTGTTAAAATCTTTGGTTTCATGAAATGATACCTTTTATAAAATCATGAGTCAACCTATTTATTTGGTAACTCTTACTCTGTACTCTGGGAGGCAGATGAAAAGTAAGTTACCATTTTTTTGTCTCGCCTCCAAATAAAACAGACGGTGTCAAAAAGTACGATTATACATCTCAGAAGCCGACAAATTTATTTCAGTTGATGTATTACCTTAGTTGATAATAAAATCACGTCACAGGTAATGAGTTTTAATGTCAATTCTTTTTCAGTTTCAACCAACTGGACCTTCCTGTATATGAAACTTATGATAAGTTACGGGCTTACCTGTTGAAGGCCATTCATGAGTGCTCTGAGGGCTTCGGCTTCGCTTAAAGTAATCCTTTAATGTTTAAGACTGATGTGTTAAATTCTTGTTTATATCAAAAATTTAGAATAGAATTCTTGTAAATATACATAACTTATATGTTAAGTGTACAGACCACGACAGTGTAAAAAAGTTTAATTTTAATTTTCTATAAACTTCAAATTTTAAGTTAACTGTGGGTTAAACGCTTGAGTTACAAGTTTCTGTAAATTAACTAATAGGAAGGCACATGTATTTTTGTAAAGGGCCTTAAGGCAATTCGAGTGTGATAAAACTGAATTTGATAGTCAGATTCAATATATATATTTACTATTTAACTTCATTTAAGGTAATTGTTATTGCTATAATTTGTATAATTTATATTGAGGTAACTCAAATATTGAACACTTTTTCCTGTTTTTGTACATGAATTCGTTGGTCCCTACCTTTCATTCATTCTTGTCATTAGAACATTTTAATACACGTCTCACATTGTAATTCAAAACTTGTGATTTTAATTTGAATAATAATAAATGTTTTCTCAATATCCGTTCAATTTTACTTGCCAATATCACAACCTCTAATGTTGGATTAGACACATCATTCTCATAAACAGCAAATTATCCATAATAATAATTATACAATTTTCACACTATACATTTTATTCAAGAGAAGTTTCATACACAGTATATTTCATCACTTGATCTGGTACATCAAAGTATTCTACAATGTCTTTAATGTAATACTAGGTAGTGTATGATGTACAAGTTCAACTGATAGGAACTATCGTAGTAAACTCGCCTTGAATTCAATTTTCATTAAGTCAGTGCATTCATGTGGGAAATTTTTAATTTTTTAAATCAAATATATGCTGCTTTTTTTGTTAGGAGGCTTATTCAATAATGGAACAAGTTGGCATGTTAATAAATTTTTTATATACAAAATATATATAATTGTACAGTTTCTATAAAAAATTATTCAAGGTAATATATTTGAGTAACATCCTCTCCTTAGCCTAGATAATTAGCAGTGAATTAGATCTTGATCAAGGTAAGACCTGTAACATAACAAGAAATAGTTTAATTTTTAGGTCATTTTTTGATATCTTACATGGACATCGGTTCATATTTATTGTACATTCGTGGTGGATTTGGTGAGTCTTCAGAATGTGTGCTTCTAGCAGAATGGGTACTTTTCACTCCTGAGGCAAAATCCTTTCTATAATTGCTACTTTCTCTTGGTTTTATTCCTGAAAATAAGAAAATTACCTTGTAAAACACAAAAGTTGTTCGGAAGTGGTATTGACACTTTTAGGATTAAATAAACGAATCTCTAACCTTTTGCTTTTGGCATATTGCACGTAACTTGAGGATGAACTGTTGTTTGTCTGTGGTGTCCCCCATCATTAGCATATCTATAGCTTCCACGAAATTCCTTGTAATCCCTTTGTACTTGTCTGAATTCAGACAGCTCTCGAGTTGTAGATGCTCTCATTTTGGTTTCTGTATTCAGTTCTGGACCTCTGAATTTATGGAAAGATATGCTACTGTCTGGTGATTTTGTGTGTGGCAGTGGAGAAGATGAAGTTGAGGAAGAAAATGCTCCATCAGGTTCTGGTCGAATCTGAAATTGAAATTATGGAACCTGAATGAAAACTACTTTAGATGGAATATATAAAATATTGTGTAGTCAATGTGCAACCTAAATTGAGAAAAGTTTTTTATTCAGTTCATTATGATCTTAAATCTACCAGATCTGCGGCTTCATCAACAAATGTACTGTACCGAAAATTATGATACTAACCTCATTCTTCATTTCGAGGTTAGGTGGAAGACTAGACCAAGTGGGATCTTCGTCCAAACAGTATAGCCTCAGTTGTTGTCGAATATTGGCTTTCTCCCTGAAACGAATGAAAGTTAAATAAAAGAAAACAAAGCAGTACAACCTAGCACCTTGCCCGTTTTCTCTGAAACTCCTCTTCAACTTTCTGCATGGCTTCAAGCTCCTGGATCCGTTTCTTTTCCCTCCTTTCCGCTTCTTTGGAAAGCTTGTCAGACAATCTCTTTTTCTCAATTTGCCTTATTGTACTTTGGAAGGTGAACTTTTTGGGCTTCCTGCTCATCTGCCATGAAAGATCATGTTTTGTTGCTGGGTCTTGAAGAGGTTCTGGTTCCCTCCGAACTTCAAAAGCTATGTCTTCGCAAGACTTTGAATAACTTAGTGATGGTGTGTCTCGTGTGTTTATATCATAATCTTTTCTATAGTTGCTTCGGTTAAGGTCTATCTCGGGCAGATACATCAACCTGCTAGTCTTGTTTTGAGAGTATATCAACTCGCACTCTTGGGATTTTCGCATTTCCAGAGAGTGAAATGCGTTATTCAAAGAATTCGGTGCAGATTTGCTAAGAAACCAATTAGAGCCTTTCTCGTCTGCAAGGTTCGCTTCAATGTAGTCCTTCTTGTTGGATAAGTTATTCAAAACTCCAGAGAGTGATTTCTTCAACCTCTGCAAACCGCTATACTGATAATTTGATTTCTCAATCATATATGACGCCAGCTGGTTGTCTCTAGGCAGCGATAGACTGAATAGGTGTGGTCCGATATGGGTCCGCGGTTTCTGTTTGAGCACTTTGTCATCTATACATTCTTCTATGCTAGAATCGTCCCCGAGATCTTGTTGAGGAGTCCACGATATCCTCTCATGATTATTCAAATATGATAGCATCTAGAAAAACTTTTTATGAAATATCTGTGAAAAACTAACTGCGTTCTAAACCACTCAAGTTTATAATGAATTACTGAATCTAAGATTCCATTATGAAATAATGAACTATCAACTAAACTTCATCTACATTTTGTTTTAAGTATCCTAACTGTATATTAAGATTTCAGAAAATCGACAAAGCCGGTAATAACGGATGTTAAAGGCAGGTTTTTTGAGGGGAAAATTCAAAAGGCTAACTTCAGAAATCAATTTAGGCAAGAAAACTCTTATCAAAAAGTGACCTAATCATGTGGCCTAGTACAACTGACAATATTGCAATTACAAATCTGGTGATACTCTTTCATAATTGAAGATTTAGGAGAAATATTCCAAATAATTTCAGATCCATTTAAACTCTACCAGTGATATCGATTTTTGAAGCAGTAATCGAAGAAGCAGAGATTAGTCAAGTTTTTGTATAAATTATTATTTAACAGGTCTCGGCATGAATATCAGGAAGGAAAATCCCTAAACATAAAAACAATCTCGATAAAGCAGTGAAAACTTAGAAGATAAATAAAATTTGGCTACCTACCATAATTAACATGGAAATAAAATCATTAAATGAGCCATTAAAATGCTCATTAGTTAAATTCGGCCTACTAATTGACCAACAGGAAATGATTTGTATAATTTATATTGAGGTAACTCAAATATTGAACACTTTTTCCTGTTTTTGTACATGAATTCGTTGGTCCCTACCTTTCATTCATTCTTGTCATTAGAACATTTTAATACACGTCTCACATTGTAATTCAAAACTTGTGATTTTAATTTGAATAATAATAAATGTTTTCTCAATATCCGTTCAATTTTACTTGCCAATATCACAACCTCTAATGTTGGATTAGACACATCATTCTCATAAACAGCAAATTATCCATAATAATAATTATACAATTTTCACACTATACATTTTATTCAAGAGAAGTTTCATACACAGTATATTTCATCACTTGATCTGGTACATCAAAGTATTCTACAATGTCTTTAATGTAATACTAGGTAGTGTATGATGTACAAGTTCAACTGATAGGAACTATCGTAGTAAACTCGCCTTGAATTCAATTTTCATTAAGTCAGTGCATTCATGTGGGAAATTTAGACCAGTTTCGGTTTGTTAGACCATTCTCAAGTTACTGAAACCGGTCATAACAAATAATAAACTTGGTAGAAATTAGACAAGAGTATTTGCTTTATCCTATATTCAATTTAAATTGATCATCAATCGAACAAGTGAAATATAATTCTCGATATTAGAACAACACTTCAGAACTGTAACAGTTCAATTGAAGATACAAATACGAAGGAATAGTGGAAAGTGTATTTATTAGTCGAACGGTGTCTACTGTTTCATCTTGGGCGAATTTTAAAATATCACACCAAAATGAAATTTTCTATAATATTTTCAACGTATAAAGTTAGGATAGTGAGTTAATAAGGTACTTGCTTTGCAAACCCTACAACTCTCCCAACATATCAATAATGATTTTCATAACAATCTACCTTGAGTCCAGCAGGTACATGGTTTTCTTGGTTAATTCCATTGTCATTATTATCCTCGTAGCAAGCAATAGGAATGGCATCGTCTCCTGATATCCCGGAATCTCCAGATTTGTCATTGCTGGATCTTTGTCCTGCATGAACGAATGGAGGTGGAGGTCTGGCATATTTCTCGATTCGTTCTTCTACAAAAACAGGCACATCGTCACTTTCTGTTGTAGCGGCCGTATTATCATTGGTATCCATAGACAGAAGTCTCCATGCCGCGGCAGGAGAGAATCTCGGTATCTCCAGTTGTTTTTTTGGTAAGATAGGCCTTAGCTGTAAATCAATCCCAGTTTTAGAAACGTCATTCTCGTCAGAGTCAATGTAACTAGATATATCCGACTCTGAAGAATGAGGTATTTTTGTTTTTTGGTGCAGATTGGCGGCAAAGTTATCGAACATTTCGTCTGTATACAAGTTGTCGTTAGATTCGTTCATGCCGAAATAAAAAGTTAAAAAGGTGGAACAAAAAGAACTTTATTATATATATGTGGGTGGTCAGCTTTTGACATATTGATGGTCAGTGGAATCCTTTGTACTTTTATCCAAGGTCGTATTAAAAATACAATTAATTCAGGTGTTTTAATATTTCAATGAAATAGTTTTAAATGAAACAGTCTGGAAAGTGGTAGAATAGTATTATTAGCAAAAAAAAAAAATTAAATTAGACATGATGTGATTCAGAGTTCAGACACGTGAAGCAAGTACATGCACTAGAAGTTGATTTTTCACACTATGCATTCCTGAGTAACATCGATTATGTTTGAGATTGATATTAATCGATATGTCACGAGAAGTAGCGATAGAAAATAGGACCATTATTGAATGCTTCCTTAGGAAAAATCTGACATTAGCATGCAAATAGGGTAACTGAATAATTACAATTTTTAGATATTTCACTGACACTCAATGTCACTTAAGAACTCTGAGCTACTTGTTAACAATGTTACCACTTTGTTCTCCACTCTTTTTATTATGGTTATAATTACCATTAGCGTTGATAGATTTTGGGGGGGCGGAGGTGCTTTGTATTTTTTCTTGGACCGTTTATCTTTGAATTCTTGACTCGAAGGGTACCGCAGATCTGGTTCTGACACATACAATTTCATCTAAAACAATATGTACCAAATAATGCTCCATCTCTAATGGAATTTCGAAATTTAGAATTATTATACAACCTACCTGCCCATGTAGACCCTTATTTTGACTAGAAGCATTCTGACTGAGTTTGTGTTGCACTCCTTGGGCCCTGGACTTGTGTTGGGGATCTCTTTCTTTGGGAAAATATTTTCTAGCTGGAGGAATATGTTCCTTAAATCCATGTGTTGGATATTCATTCTGAAAAAATGATTTATAGTGAATAATAGATGAAGAATCATTTTAATTTGGGTCGATACTGTACAGAGAGAGAGAGAGAGAGAAACACCATTCTCAAGTTGAATATTCTGAGAGATATTCATAATGATATATTGATTATCTGTTTCAGAAAACTGTTTGTCTATTTATCAAAAATCTTCATTCGGAAATGAAATGAAATTAATAATATACCTAGTTGAAATAAAAAAGAGTATGTACACTCACATATTTATCTCCTAATTTATTGCTGTGTCTTCCCGATAAAGTTCCGCCAGAATGTAGAATCTCTCCATTATTTGTGGACCTGAGTTTTAGTTGGACATCTCTCTCTGGAAGTACTTTGTGTTGGGTACTCAATTTAGTGGGTTGGGTTCTTGGGAAGGAATGAGCCCACTGTTCTTTTTGTATGACACTTTGACTGATTTGGCCGTTTTGGCTTCCAGCGTTTCCCATTCTAGTGCCTTTCCACTTTAGGGTGATACATAATTCTGTAACATGAAAATATAGTTGAAATTAGCCAGCCTGTGACGTCAAAATAAACTTTGATACTTTGAGAATTTTCACCCATGTGTATAGTGGTTATTGGTTATTAAGCGACCTTCTGAATGAATTAAAAACACTTTATTGATTGTCAAAGTCCCACATGAACCAATTTACAACACTTGCTTCACTATACAATACTGGTAGTGTTACTGAAGCCTGAATAATAAATAATAATGAAAAATGATAATGATAACAATAAATAATAATAATGAGCCCTCTCTACTCTCGAATCTCAAGATCATGCCAGCTTTCCGCACTAAGGCAGAAATCTTAGCCCGGACAAACGCAGAAGTCACCTATCCCACGGTGTGGGGACTTCGGGGATACGACTCGATCAGCGCCTTAGGAAATGATATAATAGTAATATCTGTTTATTATACTCTGTGAATATTTCTTAATTGATCTATATGTTATCTCACTATTTTGTAACTATTATTCTTATGATTTACTTTCAATCCACTACATTGCATCAACTACTGTGTAGCACTGTAATAGGTACTTTTATTTTGATTTGGGCCTGCCCACTTTACAAGAAATTTCACTGATCAAACGGGAAAACCCATAAGGGAACCAATAAAGGTGAACAAACTCCAATTTTGAATAAACAGAAATCAAACACAATATACAAAATTTCATGTATGGATTGTTCCAAAATATATATAGGACAAACTTCCAGGCCTCTTATCAGTCGCATAGCTTCCCACAAAAACGACTATAGAAAAAAATAATTTTGCGCATTGAGTGAACACATCAATACGGAGGATCACATAATGGATTTTGAGAACACAAAAATTTTAGACAGGGAAACAAACTTAACTAATAGAATATTTTCAGAAATGACCCACATCAATAACGGAGAACATTGCATGAACAAGAAAACAGATCTCAACAATTTCAGCTGAATTAATACATTTCTACTCAAATACAAGAAATATAAGAGAAAATCACCTATCATTCAGAAATTTCCCACATGACACTCTGTCAAAGTTTGACATATTCAAAAATTTTTATGTTTCTTATGAGTATTTCTGTTCATTTTGTTTCAGTTCATTCTCTCATTTGTAAGTGTTCTATATTTATATATTTATGAAAAAGTATATTCAGTAAATTGATGGATGTAGCCGTTACTACGTGGTAGGAAATTATAATGAAGAAAAGAGAAATGAAACTTTCTATGTTTTTTACCACTTTTATTTGTAACTAACGTTACTGCATATTCAAACTTATACAATAAACTTGTAACAGTCCTCGTGGTCAACCCCCTAGGACGGGTAGATGTTACCCTTAGAATTTTAAATGGGATGGAGGGTCAAGTGGCATCATTTTGATTGGCGTTCAATTATGCTTTCAATGGTACCCTAAATATAATTTTTTGATGAGCATTTTCCGAAAAATAGCCTTCTAAACTAATAGAAGTAATTATTAGTACGTCTATACTGAGATGCATGGTTTGACTAGAACTGGTAAGAATATTTGGTGGTATACCTTTCCAACCCTTTATTAGAAGTAACATTAGCCATTAGCTCCAATTAATTTACATCAAAAAGTAGTCTAATAGTAAAACGTAGATGGTAGTAAAGTTGTGTTTAGTAAATGCTGAATGTTTAATTCTCATCGCAGAAAGTGTCCTTTTTTGTTACTTCTGCTGTAAAAAGTTTCTGTTTTCAGGCAAAAAATTGGTTCGCAAATTTGAACGATGCGAATCATTTCTTTTACAGAAATACAACTTCTCTAGGAAACGAGATCTATAGAATAACCAGTAGTAGGTATTCAGAAATGATAGAACTATTCTCAGATACGAGATAGTAAGAATGAGAGAGAGAAGAAGGATTCTCAAGTCTCTTCCTACATTTGATAAGCACAGCAACCTGAGTATCCGTGTACATGAACACTGGAACACTGGAACTGAACACTGCTACTGGTGGTGCTAGTGATGCTTTCATTATAGCTACTCAGGCCCAAAAAGGGAGAAGAAGATGGTGACAGAGACAGTTTTTAACAATTGAAACAAACTATGCCAACAGGCTAATGGCAGATTTGCTTTTGAATGATAGTAGCTCGTTCCGTCATTTCAATGTCGCACAATGCGGAAGCAACTTCAAACATTTCAATTAGCTCTATCACCAGCTGTTTGGTCCATCTCTTGTTTGATTCTTAATAGAATAATAATTACCTACATTCTGAAGTTTTTTAAATGATGAAAATATCCAACATATTCCAAAAACACTTTATTGTGAGATTTTCACTAAATTGTTTTACAAAAACGCAACACGTGTTTCGCCATATAATAAAGTGTTTTTGGAATACGTTAGTTATGGATTTTCATCAAGTATCGGCCGATTCCATCATATATATGAAAATATCCACAAATAACGTACCTACTAGATTTAGATTGTGATAAAAAGGCTCACTAGCGACACCACTTGTTGACAACACCGTTTTGACTGAGCGATAATGTGTGAAATGGAAAACATGGATACAAGTAACAGGCAACAAATTTATTTTATGTCATGCCGCCCGATGTTGACGAGTATCCATCAATTAGTTACTTTGACGAAATACACATTGACATCAATATCAACATGTTGCCAACATTTTGTATACTGGTCTGTACTCACCTTAAGACACGATTGATATATTTTCGGATACCCAGTCATTTTACGAATTCCAAGGTTAACCAATTTGATTTGAATAATGGTAACCCAGCAGCTGTCAACTGAAAGAGTTGTTCTGTTATTCATACAATCAATGGATACATCTTCCTCAAAATTATGTCAAAGGTTACACGAACATCATATCAGATAAACAGGGGGTTTTTAAATTCCACTGGATTTCACCAAGTTCAAATTACTCACATAGATGAGTGCAATATTAAATAAGTCCCAGTCACAAAAAAACTGATAAACATTTGTGAAGAATCAACTTTCCTGAATAAGTGTTACTGAGAGGAGTGACATTATGCATGCCTTAAAAATGTAAGATTGAAATGACACGTTTGCTTGGTATCTATTGATGTTAATTGATATCTTATTCAACACGAATTTTCGTAATTTTTTTTCATAGATAACTGTTGTTTAACGTCAATTATAATTGAATAATAGTTGCTCGTCATCATCATCAATTTGAAATGATGAAAAGAACAGTTTCAATATTTACTGAAGAACGTTTTCCTCAAAATTAAATAAATGATTATATTATAATAAGATACGTTTTTTACTACGATTCCGATACTAATTTGACTATTCCTGTCGATTTTTTCTCTTCAATTTCTACTTACGTTCCTACTTTTTGTTCAATCTCAATTTACGAAATCTCAGGAATGGAGAAGTAGGGAGGGGGATTAAATCAAAGAATATTGTCAAAATTTCCGTTGGCGTGGTCGAATGGGTTGTTTTTTTCCCCAGGGGAATATGCCACCCTAGTGTTTACCTCCTCTGGTGGGTGAAAACTGCTTCATTGAAAATAAGTTCAGAATTGGATAGATTCAATAGTTATAAGCAAATTTTGTTATATACAGTTTTTTTCATGTCACTCATTACTTTTTGACGTATTCGCGTCAAATATTCGCGTATTATTCAACCAATAAACATACGTTTTCAGACGGTGTTTGGCGAATATCTCAAAAAGTAACTATTTCCTCAAAAAATTCATTTCTACCAAGAAATGCAGCCTTCAAAAAACTAGAAGGTTGAAATTATGGTGTTTGTAGACCCAACACAAACAAAGTAATAGTTTGTTGAAGGTTGATTCTTATTCGCCAAACGCCAAAATTGAAAATTTAATAACAATAATAATAATAATAATTGGTTTATTATAACCCCCCAAACACTGTCGCTTTTACACTTTCATACATTCAACATTGTGGAAGTTATTCAAAACGAAAAGGCATCCTATGTTAAACTGAATATCCAAAAAAATCATCTTGTGACCATACAAAGCGAAACAGTGTCGTTTATATTTCCATTCATTGTCATTTTCAAATGTATGATTGAAAATGTCCTTATAGGACGAAACTGTAGTAGGTAACGTTAGTTACAAATACAACTGGTAAAAAACATTATAAAAACTACACTATAAATTTCAACCTTTACCGTTGATTACAATGTGAGACACTGAAGTTATCTATCAAGAGAAGAGGAGGGGCAAACTCATCAATTGAGTTGCTATTTTAGGTATATCATAGTAACACTTTCACAAATGCTATATATTTTATCATTCTTTAATATATTTCGAATGGTAATTTTAAAGTTCAGTACACTGTATATATAACTTATAAATCGATGTCATTTCTGTCACCTAGATGGAAAAATAGTAATTTTGTTTGTGATAAAGTCTTTAACTTTGATAATGAATAATCAACATAAAAATTAATCAATTTGATGATGAATTATATATAACTATGATAACTATGGACCAAGAAAGATGCAAGAGAAATTCGATTTTTGAAAAGGTGAAGATAAAGAAGTGAAAGCACTCAGTGGTGGCCTGAAGTACTTTTTATAAATAACAAGATTGCAAAAAAAGCAATAATTTGGTGAAATAAATTTTTGTACTTTTTTGGAAATGAATATTTATTTACGCTAAGTATTATGATTTTTTTTTTGGAGGAAGTCCTTCATCGATGGGACTAAATCAAAGCACTAATTATACACAGCGAATCGATAAGCAAAAAAAAAGAACAAAGAGTGAAAATGTTTTTCTCAATAATAAGGTGAATTTGGAGGAAGAAGGAGGATAATAAAATTTTAAAAATTATTTCTCATCCCAGGTATCAAAGATGTTCACATAGAAATGAATATGAAAGAGGGAATGTTATCTTATTAAATTCAGGGTAGCCTTTAAATGGCTATTACGAGGTGAAAGTACCCTGAAGTTGAATGACCAATGTCCGGAGCAATTCACTAACACTGAATTGGACTTGGCAGTGGGTCTTTAATGCGTCGAC